GGTGGCCAAGCAGGAGGGCTTCGAGCAGCTGGAAAGGCGGGCGCCCGACCTGGAGCCTTTCCGAACCGCGCTGGCGGGGCTTCGCCGCGACGGCAAGCAGGAAGAGGCAGCGCTGCTGGATGCCCACATCGCAGGAGGGCTCGTGGCGCAGAGCGGCCTCTACGAAGATCGGGCGGCGCTCAGCCCGCTGTGCCAGTGGTGCGAAGGGGCGACGGGTACGGCTCACCACTGCCTCTTCACCTATCCCGCGATCGTGACTTGGGCAGCCGAGCTGGGATTCCAGAGCGTGGCGGTCGCTGGGAGAAGCGCGCCAGAGGGCGAACTCGGGCTGACGCGTGGCCTGATCAACCTGGGGATCGACCAGGCGCCGCCGCCCAGCATGGACGAGAACTACCACAGGGCTGGGCTTGCGCGCCACGAGTGCTTCAGGGGCGTGATATGCATCGACGGCTCGGCGATGTGTCCCGAAGTGCCCAAGCTCACTCGCACGGGGTGGTCGGCCGTGATGGTGGATGGCGTCGGCTCGGTCCTCGGCGGCATGTACGGGCGCGCGCCTGGATGGATCCAGGAGATCGGCTACGCCGAAGCGTGCACCCTGAACCGAGTGCTGCAGGAGGTGGGGCCCGAGCCAGTGGTCATCTACACGGGCTGCAAAGGGGTCAGGGACGAATTCATGCGGGGGCCCTCCAATGCTGCGGGCACGAGCACAAGCATGCGGACTTGTGGAGACAGGTGCTCCACCAGGTCGAGGAGCTCGGGGACGAGTTCGTGGACCTGCGGTGGGTGAAGGCCTGCACCAGCTGGGCCGAGGCGAGCCGCCGCGGCACCACCCTGCAAGCCTTCGCAGGGAACCGCGAGGCGGACGCGAAGGCGCGACTGGGAGCGAGGCTCCACCCAGGCTAGCAGCTGCTCGCGGAGCTCGACGGCCGCTGGACCTCGCAAGCCGTCGCCTGGTGCGCCCACCGTGGGGGAGTCCTGAAAAGAATCGCTGGTCTCGTTGGCCTGACAGGGGCCCCCTCCCTGGTCCTCGGGCTCAGGATCCCGAAGCGCTCCTCTTGGCTCGGCCCGACATGGGCCACCAACTGTGCAGGCTCGGTCGAGCTTGGGGCTGTTCCGTTTGCGGGGTCCGACGGGCTTCGAGGGCCACGGTTATTTCCAAGAGATCCCCAGGACTCTCCAGGTCGGTTGCCCAGTCCCACCCATCCCATAGGCTGTGGGTGATTCGGGGTGGGGGCGACGGGCCTGGAAAGGGGTCCTACGGGATGGGGGGGGACACCATCGTTTTCTGCAGGACGTGGGGGGTCTATTGGGCGCCGACAGGTTCATCTCCTGACGGACTGTTGTGTTCCCCTGGCCAGGACGAGCCGCGACGCGGCAAGGCTCGCGCGCAAGGCCCTCGACGGGCTCCCGAGTGGATGCTACTGGGGCTCCCCCTTCCCAGTGTCTAGGGCGGCGGCGGCTGTCTAAAACCCAGGGGCCCTCGCCCGCGCCAGGTCTCTCTTTTTTCTCTTGGCGGGCCTTGGGTTTTCTCCCGGTGAGTTTTCGATCCCGATTTAAGGGAAGTGGCTGGCTTGCGGAGCGGACCGCCTCTTTTCAGGAACTAGAAGAACAGGAGGAGGAGGAGGATGAGGAGGATGATGAGGAGGAGGAGGAGGAGAAGGAGGAGGAGGAGGAGGAGGAGGAGGACGGGTCGCCTAAGCCCTTCGGAGAAACCCTCCAGTGCGCGAAGAGTTTTCAAGGCCACGGCTAGCCTCGGCCACGAGGCAGGCTCCCCGACCAAGGTCTGAGGAGCGGCCCGAAGACCAGAGCCCTCTCAGAGCCAACAGTGGTCTTTGCTTCAGCGTCGTAACCTCATGGGGGTCCGCTGTGTGGCAAGCTCCCCGTTGTCTCGCATGCACAACGCCCGCGGCGGCGCCGACCGCGAATCCTGCTCAAAATGGGCGGGAACTGCTGCTAGTATTCGTGCCCATCCTTCCTGCGTCCGTTCCGATCGTCCCGATCCCTGGGGCTGGGGACCCCTCCCAATGCCGGCTTGGCGGCCGAGCCGCCACGTCGCTGCGCTGGTGCCCCGGCCAAGCAGGGGACCTCGCACGCTCCCCGCAGGCGGTGCCCGCCCGACAGCGGCGCCACCGCTGCGCCGGCAAGCTCTGTCGGCCGCGCGCGGGAAACGGAACGGGCTCGCCCTCGCCCCGCAGACAGTGCCGAGCCCCAGGGCTGGCGGGGGGACCCCGTTCGCCTTTCCGCTTGGTCTCGCACTCGGCGCTGCTGTGGACCCGAGTGGGAGTGCGATCCGCCGCCCCCCACCTGGTGCCCCCCGACGACTGCGGGGATAAATGGTCTCGAGGGTCGATGGAGACTCGGAGGCGAAGCTGCTGCCGGCGGCGTCGTCGTCCACCCCCTCCCCTTCCTCGTCCAGGGCCCCGAAGTGCAGGCGTAGCACCTCGGAGCTGGTAGCCCAACGGTCGAGCATGTCTACCGCCTCGGAAACTTGCCCCCGCCTGCTATGGCAACGCGAGCTCTCGCAGTCAACGTATTGGCAAGGGATCTGGCTTCGATCGGTGGGCAGCCTCAAGGAGGGCCGCGCCCGACAGCCAGGGCGGGATGGCCGTCGTACCGAGGACCTCCTCCCGCACACGCTGCCAGGCCTCTCGCCGTGCTGGGGGCTGTTGGCTCCTTTGGCGTCGGAATCGGCGCCGTCGGCTGCGGCCACTTGGTCTCGCTTCGCTGCAGCGGGCCGCGCGTCACTGCCGCGCGCCCCCAAACGCAGCGAAAACCGACCCGTCGGACCCAACGCGCCGTGAGGGGCCGAGGCGCGCGGCGACGGCCGCCGGCGAGCGCGCTTCACACCTTGGAAGCCAGGACTGCCGTGGAGCCCTCGGGGGCCGCGTCCACAGCGAGTGCCTCTGCCTTGACGCGGCGCGGCGGCGGCGGCGCGGCGCAGCGCCCGGGCCCCTCCGCGCGAGCTGCCGACGGTGGCGGGGCTCTCGCAGCCCGAGGGAGCGGGGGTCCCACGCCATGCCCCGCACTCGAGCGCCGCAGCCGCGGCGCCTCTCACACGGCCGAAGAGCCAGGAGGAGGAGGAGGAGGAGGAGGAGGAGGAAAAGGAGGAGGAGGAGGAGGAGCAGGAGGAGGAGGTGGAGCCCCCCCCGGTCCATCAAGCCCACGGCCAGCCTGGCCGCCGCGTCGCGTGTGCGAGCCCTCGTGCTGCCCCCGAGTGCTTGCCCTGTCGTCTCCTCCCAGGTTTCGGAAGGGCGGCGGGGCCTGGTCCTCCAGGGAAGTGAAAAGACCGTGGGGTGCGGTAGCTACGTGAAGAGACCTCGGGGAGCGATGGGCAGGACACAGGGGTACCCTTGGTGTTGCAGGATTGACCTGCTGGTCATACCTGGCTGCGCTCAGACATCCGACGTCAAGATTTTTGCGCAGCTCGGCTCCCCCAAAATGTGGACCCCTTCCCTGGGACCGGCATTTGATCCCGCATCGTTTATTGACGGTCCAAGGGCCCGGCACCCGCCCACCCCCCAAAAACCGAAAATGGCGAAAAAGCGTCCGTCGTGTTCTTCGCCACGCGAGGAGGTCAGAGGCTGTACGTCCCGATCTGGCTTCCACCGAGTGCGGCTAAACCTTCGTCGACGAGACGTGGAAAGGTGTGCTTCCAATCCTGACCGCCTGGGTTGTCACACTCCAGGTCGGCAGCCGGGCCCTTGCCCTCGCCATTAAGGATGGGCGCGGCAGGCGCGTGGGCGGGGGAGGAGGTGGCATTGCCAGTAGCAGGAGGCGACTAAACGCAAGCAGCATGAGCTCTTTCCACGAGGTGTGAGGTCTGCTCATCTTCACCTCCTTGATCCTCGCGGGCCAGGTCAACCAGACCGCGCACCTTTTCTACTGAAGCTGGCTCTGAAGTGCTACTGCCTCTTTCCGACTCCCTCCCCAGCCGCCGTAGCGGTTTGAGGCCCGCTGGCAGCCGCCACCTTGCGCACGCCCTTGCCACGCGGGAGTCTGCCATCGTGCACGGAGTCGCCTCGCCCTCTGCGGCGTTTCTTGCCTTAGCGTTGGCGCCCTTCGCGGACTCATTGCGCTCCCAGCGCTTGCGCATCGTGGTGGCGTCTCGGAATGGTTCTGGTCCAATAAGCCCGGCCACCGTCTCCATCAAAACGGGGCGATATGCCACATGTGGGTTGGACTTGGCCATTTCCGTGGTCAACCCTTTTGTAACATGGTTGCCCGGGTGGTGCCCAGATGGTGTCCGCGATTCCCGTGGGCCTCTTCATCGTCCTTCTGTGCGTGGTAGTATGTCGTGGTAGTGTTTTTTCAAGTCAGATGTTGTGTTCAGGAGGCCGTTGCCAAATTCCAGCTTCGCATCCTCGATCACCAGCATCGCAACGGCCTGGAACAGAGGCATGGCAGCCGAACTCCCAGAGCCCGTCGAAGAAGAAACTGCCTTCCGCGTCTTGTTCTCGCTGAAAGCCTTGATAATGTCACCGTCGGACTCCATTGCCATCGGAGGAAGAGGAGGAGGCGGAGGAGCATAATGATGGAGCGAGGAGTGTGGGTGGGGGGGGGGGGGAGGGAGGAGGGCGGAGGGGATGAATCAGGAGCCTGGAGGGGGAGGAGGAGTGGACGAGGGTGGGGAGGCGTGAGAGGAGAGGAGGGTGAACGACGAGCAGCGGGAAGGAACGAGAAGTGGTAACGGCGCCCTCTCCCTCGAGGGGTGTTTCTCCGTCTGCTGATCTCGCACCATCGGACCTACCACCTCTTCAGGCAAAGGACCACAGGTATGATGCTGACGATGCTGATGCTGATTGTGACGATGCTGATGCTGATGGTGATGATGCTCGGGTGTCAGGGAAGGGGAGAAACATCAAGAGGTGGTAGTGGAGGGGGAAGAGGAGGGGGAGGAGGGGGAGGAGGAGGAGGGAGGGCGACGGGGACGAGATGGACCGTGGATGGGGGAGGAGGCGATGATGACGTCGACGATGACGACTGGGAGGAGCCAACTCTTTCGGCTGCCGAGGCGGGCGCCGCCGCGCGCCGCGGCGAGGACCGGGGGGCTGCGGGCGCCCCGTTCGCGCGCGGCCCCGCTCTGGAGGCCCGAGCACCTCCCCGCTGGCGGCGCGCAGACGTTTTGTTGCTGTTGTTGGTTGGTGTAGCTGTTGTTGTTGCTGCTGTCGTTGTTGTTGCTGTTGCTGCTGTTGCTGCTGTTGCTGTTGCTTTTGCTGCGACTGCTGTTGTTGCTGTTGATGCTACTGTGGTTGCTGTTGTCGATGTTGATGTCATTACTATTGTTGTTGCTGATGTTGTTGTTGTTGATGTTGGTGTTGTTGTTGCTGTTGGTGTTGGTGTTGTTGTTGTTGTTGGTGTTGTGGTTGTTGTTGTTGTTGTTGTTGTTGTTGTTGTTTGGTGTGTGTTGTTTGTTGATTGTGGTTGTTGGTTTGGGTTGTGGTTGTTGTTGTTGGCTGTGGTCCTTGGCTTGTTGTTGTTTTGGTTGTTGGTTGTGGTTGTTTTTGGGGTGGTTGTCTTTATTGTGTTTGTTGGTTGTGATTGTTGGTGTGGCTGTTGTTGGTGCTGTTGTTGTTGTTGTTGTTTGGTATTAGTTGTTAGTGATTCGTTGTTCGTTATGTGCTGTCGTTGATGTTGCTGCTGTTGTTGCTGCTGTTGTTGTTGATGGTGATGTTGCTGTTGCTGCTGTTGCTGGTGATGTTGATGTTGCGATTGCTGTTGTTGTCGATAGTGCTGTTATTGTTATTGTTGATGGTGATGTTGTTGGTGTTTTTTGTTGTTGTTGGTGTTGCTGGTGTTTCTTGTTTATGCTTGTTGTTTGTTGTTTGTTGTTGTTGACTGTGGTTGTTGGTTGTGGTTATGGTTGATGTTAGTTGTGGTCCTTGGCTTTTCGTTGTTGTGCTCGTTGGTTGTGGTTGTGTTTGTTGTGGTTGCTTTTTTGTTGTGGTTGTCGACTGTGATTGCTGTTGTGGTTGTTGTTGTTGAGATTGGTTGTCGTGTATTGTTCGTTACTTGTTGTTAGTTGTTTGTTGTTGCTGTTGAACATTATTAATTCTAAAGAATAATTATTGTTGGGACCCCTGGTGCACGGCCCCCCTGCGCCGCCTAGGCCGCAGCTACATTTTCATAATTTTCGTGAGGAAGCCTCAGGTAATACGATGTCATCAAGATCCGGTTGTTTTGTTGTAATCCGTTTTCCCTTGCAAAAAACACTATAAAATGACATTTCTTGTTCTAATATAATCAAATTTCAAGAATCCCTTGCAAAAAATAAGGTAAAGTGGACATTCGCGCGCGCAAGACGAAATCCTTCCAAAAGCTTAGTGTTCGGAGCGATTTTAACATAAAAACATCAAAAAACCAATGGTTTTTCAACAAAAAAATGTCAAAATCTCATCCCGCGCGCTCTTGCGGATTCGTAGGAAAACCAACACTTTTTAAACATTTCTGTCAAACGGGCTTTTGCGAGCAACTTTTTCGAACTTCTGCGACAACGGTTGCGCACCTGCCAGGGCCATCATCCCTGTCAAATAATACCATGCGGGACACATTCGTTTTTTCTTCGCGCGCGCACGCCGAAATCTCCAAAAACCATTGGGCTTCTTAAGAATTTTAGCACCGCGCATCATAAAATCACACGAATCGCACCGTAGGTCCTCGAAAAACACCTGCACGACTTTTCAAAATTTCCACCCGCGCGCGCTGTCCGAATCCTAAAAAAACCAATGGTTTTCCAACATTTATGTTACATGAGCTCGCGCGAGCTACTTTCGCACGCTCTTGCAACGGGGTTCGCGCGCCTGCCAGGGGCCAGAATCCCTTGCGGTTGCGCCATATGTTGCGCCCTCGGCCGCCAGTGGGTGTGTACTCCACGCCAGTGTAGTAGCCACGGTCGTCCGCAGGCCACGAAGTGAAGTGTCCGAACGTCATAGGGCGGGAAGCTGGGTGTGGGTGGTGGCGAAGAGTCGTGTGGATATTTGGTAGAGCTTGCACTGCCCCCCCACAAAGTGGGGGTATTGGCTGGCGTCGCATGAAAACCCTGGCACTGGTGAGAACACTGAGCGTTCGGGTAAAGTGATTGCTGTTGTTGTTGTTGTTGTTGTTGTTGTTGTTGCTGTTGTTGTGGTTGTTTCATCGGGGGGCGGCGCACCGAGGACGGAGGATTTGTCTCTCGAGCCTCGACCCTGCAGGGATTTGTTGCCCCTCGGGCCTGGTGCCTCGAGGATCGAGGGCTTCTCTTTTGCTCCACGCGCCTCGGTTACACGGTTTCCCCCGGGGCCGTAGGCAAGGAGGAGGAGGAGGAGGAGGAGGAGGAGGAGGAGGAGGAGGAGGAGGAGGAGGAGTGGGAGGGGCAGGAGAAGGTGAAGGAGGGGGAGGGGAGGAGGAGATGGAGGAGGAGGAGGAGGAGGAGGAGGAGGAGGAGGAGGAGGAGGAGGAGGAGGAGGAGGAGGAGGAGGAGGAGGAGGGGTCGCCTAAGCCCTTCGGAGAAACCCTCCAGCCTCGGTCCTCGGGCGGGGGGGACCGACCATCGAGGGGAGGTTGCCGGACGCTTCCTGGGCCCACTCTTGGGCCCCCTTGGGGCGCGCAGGGGCGCACGGAGAACCGAGTGCGGAAGGGCTCGCTCGACTCCGCGATCCTCGAGCGGAGGGAGGATCGAGGATCGAGCGGACAGTTGTCGGACGCTCCCTGGGCCCGCTTCTGGGCCTACTTGGGACGCCCTCTCGTGGCCACGGCTGGCCAGGGACCAATCCGATCGGCAGCGCACAGGGACATCGGATCGGACCGGGATGTGACTCGGATCGGGCCGCACCGGCATGTAGCCAGGAGCGTATCGGTTCGGCCGCGCCCGGCTGCACAATAAGCGCTATGGGTTCATCGTGCCACATCGGATCGTCGCAATGTCGGAATCGAATCGGATCGGGGGCCAGCAAATATAGATATCGAATCGGACGACATGGGCCCTGTGCAGGGGGGACGGTTTCTGATGAGGGCTCAGAAGTGTCTCAGAAGCTTCTCGGAGGCCTTTAACAGGCAAGGGGGCTTTCAATAAGCCAGTTGTTTTCTTAGAAGGCCGCCCCTTCGCGCCGCCGATCCAAGCCCCAGCCCTGACCTTTGAAACCACAGAAACAGCACGACTCCTCCAGCTTCTCTGATCTCCTGCGACCTCTGGAGGCCTGCTTCGGCCCTGACAAAAAGCAGCCCGCGATGGGAAAACTTGTTCCAGGAATGGGGCGGAGAGCTCCAGAGGCCCGCGCCCTGAGAGAGAGAACACGGCGACGGAGGCACGGAAACTGGAGGTCCGACCTCCATCCCGGCGTGTGTTTTGATGTACTTGTTCTGTTCCCGGGTCGGACCAGCCTCGCGATCATCCCCATACCAGGCCCGAGGCAATGACAATCTCAAGGGCGTGCCCTCAAAGCTGAAAGAGTCCTCGAGGCCGTCACGGGGACAACGTGGTGCCAATTACAAGGGTAAGGCTATGCTTCATGTAGGCGCAAGTGACTGAAGGCAGAAATGTTTGATGAAATGCGAGCATATCAGAAGGCATTTATTTGTTTTGCCGCCTGAAGGAGCCCATGTTTGCCTTTAGCGGACACTCTTGCCTTCGGAAACATGCTGCGAACGAAACTTGCCCTCACACTTTCTTGTGACACTCCGTGCCTTCAACGAAAATTTGGGGACACCAGAAGATACTGATACCGTCACTCCCCGGACCTCTCCTGGGGTGCGCTCTGACCAGAATCTCGAGGCGAATCGAGCGGTGGCGACGAGGGCCTCCCAGGATGCCCCCCCAAACAGGGGAAAGAGAGGGAGGGGTAGCGGCATGGGTACCCTTTCCTCCTCTGAAGTCCTGTGCTTGCTTTTTCCTTCCTTCTCCCAAGGGTAACTTTTCCTCCGCGCTCCGCGCCGAACGCTGCGCGAGGCGCGGCTGGCAATCTTCGAGCCAGGAGAAGGAGGAGGAGGAGGAGGAGGAAGAGGAGGAGGAGGAGGAGAAGGAGGATTGGGAGGAGGATTGGGAGGAGGAGGAGGAGGAGGAGGAGGAGGAGGAGGAGGAGGACGAGAGGGAGGAGGAGGAGGAGGAGGAGGAGGAGGGAGGAGGAGGAGGAGGAGGAGGAGGGGGAGGAGGAGGAGGAGCAGGAGGAGTAGAAGGAGGAGGAGGAGGACGACGAGGAGGGGGAGGAGGAGCAGGAGGAGGAGGAGGACAAGGAGGAGGAGGAGCAGGAGGAGGAGGACACAGAACGCGGCCACCTTCGCACGCCCCCGTGGGTGGCCACTGGAACCTTCCCCCCCTCCATGTCTCGGACGCCTTCAGTGGCGCTCGGGCATCCGGCTCCGTCTGGACCGCCTCCGGCCAACTGGAAGCCATCCCCATCCTCGACGGCGAGCGAGGGGGGAAGCGAGAAGAAGGTGGCCTTCTCGGAAGGCTCGGAAATCCTCTGGCCTTCTGGGGAGTTTCCTGGGCCTTCGCCGAAGACATGGAAAACCTCTCAGAAGGCGCGAGGGCTTCTGAGAAGTCCCGCCGCCTTCTGAGAAGGCATTCTCCTTCTCACTTCCCCCCCTCGCTCGCCGCCGAGGAGCACCTCTGGCCATCTGGAAGCTATCCCTCTCCGCGGTCGGGTGGCCATCACGAGCGGCGAGCGTATCCACATCCACTCCCTCGCGGTCTGGACTCCAGGGCGCGATCCCGCGGATGCGCAGTCGCACGGGTACGTTCCGCGCGGGGCATCCACGAAAACACGCTGCGTGTCCGCGGGGTTGCGGCCCAGGGGCGGTGCCCGCGAGGCCGCGGATGCGGATGTTTTTTTCGCCCGCGAGGCCAGCGGGGCCCAGAAGCAACCGAGCATTATCCCCACCAGGTCAAGAGACGAGTGAGATCGACGAGCCACTCGCAGAAATCTGGAGAACACGCACGCGGGTGCATTCACATACGGAACAAGCGAATGCCACGCGCTGTATACACGAGCAGGGAGCCGTCATACCCAACCGCCACGCGAACTCTGGAAAAACATGCGGACACGTGTGTATCCAACTCTTGCCAAAACTGGCCACATCCGGCTTCCGGGTGCGTGCCTAATTCCAACACCTCTGGGGGCACCAACGTTTACATCAATTTCGGGTTCTGCCTTGACATCCGCCAGATTTTCGCCGACGCATCCGTCCTTGTTGCAACTTCCCCCGACTTCCGCCGAGTATGAGAGGTAAACCTTCGGCTCTTCGAAAACCAGGCCATCTTGGGAGCACCTGGCGCGATCTCTTACAACAAAATCTCTCTCTCTCTCTCTCTCTCTCGTTATCTTACACAATGTTTGTTTATTCCCAGCTTCGGCTTTGCCCGAGGGTTCCTTACATGTTTGCGAAAGACCGTTGGGCGCTGGGCCAGGTGGTCACCAGCCTTCCCCGCGGTCCCCAAATCTTGTTTCCTTGCTGGGGCCTTCCCCGGGGGTTCCATGGTCTTGTTTCTTTGGCCTTGGGCTCCTGAGTCTTAGTCCTTGCCTCCCTTCCTCGGGTTCCTCAGTCTTGTTCCCCAGGTTCTCCAATCTTGTTCCTTGCTTGGGCTCCTCGGGTTTCCCGGTCTTGTTCCTCGCTTGGGTTCCTCGGTTTCCCCGGTCTTATTCCTTGCCTTCTTTCCTCTGGTTCCCTGTTCTTGCTCTTCGGGTTCCCCGGCATTGCAAAGAAATGCCAAGCAATGCCAAGCAACGCCAAGCACTGCGAAGAAGTGCGAATCCATGCAAAGAGCTAACACGTAATGACAAACAGTGTCAACCAATGCCAGGCAATGCTAAGCAACGCCCAGGAATGCAGAGAACTGCCAAGCAACGCCAAATAATGCGCCCGTGAAATAAGAACCTTACCCCTAGTCAATTGGGGTCGGGCCGGGTTCATAGTTGTTCTTTCTCGCTCTCGCTTTGCCTTCTCTCTCGATCATCATCGTCACCACCATATGCTCTAAACCTTGACTGTATCGGAGGTGAGGGGGTGAGATCGAAGTGGAACGGAGAGCCCCCCTACCGGAAAATCGGCTTCGGTTTCGTGTCCGTGCGTGCCGTGCGTGCGGGCGAGGCGAAACTGCGTGGGCAGGCGAGAAATGTCCCGCCCCTGGCTGAGGCGCAACCGGACCAAAAGTCTCCCTTCCGGCAACCAATGCCGCGCGGTGTCCCGCCGGTGTCCCGCCGGTGTCCCGTCGGTGTCCCGATGATGATGCTGATGATGATGACGATGTTGATGATGATGATTATGATGGCCACGGTGGCGATGATGATGGTGTCCCGAGGATGATGATGTTGATGATGCTGATGTTGCTGATGATGATGGTGGTGTCCCGATGATGATGGCGATGATGTAAATGATCCGAATGATGTTGATGGTGATGATGAGATGATGATGATGGTGATGCTGATGATTAAAATGATGATGATGGTGTTCCGATGATGATGATGTTGATGGTGAGGATGATGATGATGAGGTGATGATGATGATTTTGATGGTGGGGGCCCGATGATGATGCTGATGTTGATGATGATGGTGCCCCGATGATGATGATAATGATGATGATGATGATGATGGTGATGCTGATGATTGTGACGACGATGCTGGTGTCCTGATGATTATTTGGGGATGATGGTGTTGCTGATGATGATGATGATGATGATGGTGTCCCGACGGTGATGAGGTTGATGCTGTTCATTATGATGATGAGATGGTGATGATGGTGTTCCGACGATGATGATGATGATGATGGTGTCCCAGTGATGATGAGGTTGAGGATGATGATGGTGCTGATGATGGTGTTCCGATGATGGTGATGCTGGTGATGATGATGATGATGGCCATGGTGGTGATTATGACGGTGTCCCGATGATGATGCTGCTGATGATGCTCACGTTGCTGATGATGATAACGGTGTCCCGATGATGATGATGCTGATGATCCTGATGATGTTGGTGATGCTAAGATGATGAGATGATGATGAAGATGATGGTGTCCCGATAAAGATGATGATGAGGTTGATGATGATGCTGTTGATGATGATGATCGTGATGATAGTATCCCAATGATGAGGATGTTGGTGATGATGATGACGATGATGGTGTTCGATGGTGATGATGTTGATGATGAGGATGATGATGGTTTTGATGGTGGTGGCCCGATGATGGTGATGCTGATGTTGGCGGCGACGATGGTGTCCCGATGATGATGATGATGGTGATTAGAATTGTAACGATGATGATGGTGCCCCGATGATGATGTTGTTGATGATGATGTTGCTGATGATGATGGTGTCTCGATGATGATGATGCTGACGATGTTGTTCATGATGATGATGACGAGATGATGATGATGGTGGTGCTCCAATGATGATAATGCGGGTGCCCCGATGATGATGAGGTTGATGATGATGATGATGGTGACGATGATGGTGCCCCGATGAGGATGGTGGTGATGATGATGTGGATGATGATGGTGATGATGATGAGGTTATGATGATGATGGTGTCCCGATGTTGCTGATGATGATGTTGATGACGTTGATGATGATGCCGTTGATTGTGAGATCTGGTTTGATATCGATAGTGAGACCGAATGTGAGATATATTGTGAGATTGATAGTGGGATCGATCGTGAGATCGATTGTGAGATCGATAGTCATATCGATTGTGAGATCGATCGAATGGAATATATCGATTGATATCGATTGTGAGGTCGATCGAATGAGATCGATCGAGCGAGACCGTTCGCGAGATCGATAGTAAGATCGATAGTGAGACCGATCGAGTAAGACGTTGGTTCCTCCCCCCCCGAACCTCCTTATCACCCGAAGGGTGGTCGTATAGGTGTATATGTATATATATATATATATATATATATATATATACCTATACCTATACGACCACCCTTCGGGTGATAAGGAGGTTGTGGGGGTGTAAGGGTGGGGGAACCAACATCTGATTCAATCGATCTCACTATCGATCTCACTCAACGGGACACCACGGGACACCATGTGCCACCACGGGACACCACGGGACACCGCGGGACATCTCTCGATCTCACTATCGGTCTCACTATCGATCTCATTGTCGATCTCACTCAATGGGACACCATAGGAAACCACGGGACACCACATCGATCTCAGTATCGATCTCACTATCGATCTCACTCAACGGGACACCACGGGATACCACGGGACACGTCGGGGCACCACATCGATCTCAGTATCGATCTCAGTATCGATCTCATTCAACGGGACACCACGGGACACCACGGGACACCGCGGGACACCGCGAGCCACCGCTGGACGGGCGGGAGGGGGATAATCATTTGTCTTGACTTATCCCTAGCAGCGGCGGACACCACGGGACACCAGCGGGACACCAGCGAAGCGAGACACCGCGGGCCATCGGCCGCTGGAGGAGAAACATTTGGTCTGGCCGCGGCCCAGCCACAGGAGGATTTCGGGACACCAGCGGGACACCGGCGGGACACCGCGGGCCACCGGCCGCCGGAGGAGAAACATTTGGTCCGGCCGCGGCCCAACCACAGGAGAATTTCCTCTCGCCCGCCCACGCAGCTTCGCCTCGCCTGCACGCACGCACGGCACGCACGACACGAACCCGAAACCGAAATCGATTTCCCGGTAGGGGGGGTCTCCGTTTCACGTCGGACTCACCCCCCAACCTCCGATGTAAAGTACAAGATTGCATTGTTGCATTGGCGCTGCGCGCCATGCGCCTTGGTCCCTGAAACTTAGTATGCAGGCGGAATGGCAGGAAGGTCAAGCCGACAATTCAACGATAACTCATTGTTGCCTTTTCTGGCATCGCCGTTGCAATAATGTTATTCGTTATCCTTCATCCATGTTTCTTTTTCCTCGTTCTCGTCACACTCTGCGTATTATCCTCACCCTCCTCAGCTCTTTTTGCGGAGGCTCCTCCTTGGAGAGCCTCTGGGGGCCTCACAACAATTTTTCAAGTTTTCTCAAGGCCTTCTGAAAGCCTCCTGGGCGTCTTCTGGGGGCCTCTGGGGACTTCCTCGGGCCACCCTGCCTCCAACCGCGGACTCACTGAACGACCGAGTCGAGATTTGGAATGCTTCGGAGGGTGTCTTGGGGCCATCATGGGCCGTCATGGGGCGCTCTCAGGCCATCTTGGAACCCTGTTGTGCCGTCTTGGGGCTCCCTTGGACTGCCTGGAAGCCCTTTCGGATGGTTGTGGGGCGATTCTCGGGCGGCTTTGGATGCCCAGAAGACCGCCGTCTTGGAGCGTCGGGAAGCCGAAAAGAGGAGATCCCCCAAATTCATCAAACTACCAGTAGAAAATCAATGAATTTTGCCTCTTGGGGCATTCTTGGGAGTGCTCTTGGAGGCTTGGGACTTGGAGGCTTGGGACGTTTCGGAGCGATCTTTTGGGGGAATGGCGGCTTCTTTGGGGTCGTCGTGGACCGTCTTGGGTCTGGGGTCGCTTCGGGAGCGCGCTGGAACCCCTGGAGCCCTCTGGCCGTCTTCGGGCTCTCGTGGGGTTCTCCCGGGTCGTCTGGAGGGCTGCCCGAGAGGCCCAGGGTGGGCCAAATTTGTTAAGGGGGAGAGGGGTGCGTTTTTTCCGGGGTCCCC